GGGGCTGGGGGCCTGGACTCCTGGGTCTGAGGGGGGAGGGGCTGGGGTCTGGTCTGAAGAGGGAGGACTGGCTTCCTGGGCTGGGATATCTGTCTGGCCAGAGCCAGTTCTGGGAGACAACGCACGATGTCGCTCTCCCCATGAGGTTCAAGGGGCGAGGCCTGGGGCGGGGCTACGACCCCCTAGGTGGGGGCGGGGTCTTGCTGCAGGGCAGGCCTCTGCTGGCCTGGGCTCTGAGTGCTGGGCACTGACCACAGCGGGCAGCCGAAGGGTCAGGCAAGCCTTGGAGAAGGTGAGGTCCGGAGGTTGGAGCCCGGGTCAGGAGGAGGCAAGGGTCAGACCGCCTGAGGTGGGCCTGAGGGTGAAGCTGTGCAGGTGGTCAGAGTCCTGGGTTCTTTGGGGGATCAGGGGCTAATTACAGACCTTGAGACTGTGGAGTGGTTGAGTGTCAGGGACACAGTCTTGGGGGGGGGGGGCCCAAGATGTGTGGGTTATATAAGGTCGGGGCAGAGGGGTTGGCTGGGTGTCTGGACCCCTGGGTCTGAGGGGGGAGGGGCTGGGGCTATTGAGTTGGACCCCAGACCACTTAAGGGCTTGGTGATCATTCCCGAGTGCTTGCTCCCACCCAGGCCCCAGGCGTCCCCCAGGCCCTGGTGTGGGCCACCCACCCTCCACAGGCCCTGGGGGCAGAGAGCACCTGTTTACTCTTAGGAGGCTGAGGCTGCTCATCCACCCCCAGGGCCCAAGTCTGTTTGCTTTGGAAACAGGTGGGGGGTGTCTCGAGTTATCTGGTTCATCTTTCATCCTCAGGCCATCAGGTGGCACAGGGATGTGGGGGTGGGGTGAGGGACATCTGTGGCCTCAGACTTGACCTCACCCCAACCCGAGACTGGTCTCCCCACTCCCAAGATGCCTCTAATAAGAAGGGAAAATGAGTCACGATGGCCTGAGACAATCAGCTTCCACCCTCCTCCTCAGATCCAGGAGTCCGGGTCCCCAGCCCCTCCTCCCCTGGCCCCTGGTCTGGCAGGACCTAAGTCCTGGTCACCCTCTCTTCTGCCCTTGCAGAGATGCCTGGGAAGCCATCAGAAGAGAAACAGGTGGAGATGGGGGCTGTGGAGAACGGTGCTGGGGAGGACCTGGGGGGCCTCACGGCAGAGGAGCTGCGGCAGGGCCAGGAAGCGGCCCTGGCACTGGAGGATATGATGGCGCTGAGCGCCCAGACCCTGGTCCAGGCCGAGGTGGACGAGCTCTACCAGCACGTGCGTCCCCTGGGCCAGGGCCGCTTTGGCCGGGTCCTGCTGGTCACCCACCGTCAGAAAGGTACAAAGGCCTGGGGACAGAGGCGGGGGGCAGTGGTGTGGGCCCAGGCAGAAGCTAGCCAAGGCTGAGGAGTCTGTAGACCTCAATCAAGTCCTGCCTCTGCCCCTTCCAGGCTGTGTGTTCTTAGTAACTCCCCTACCCTCTCCGAACCTCAGCCTCCTCCTTTGAAAACGTGGGTGATGATTCCTTCTCTGAAAGAACTGTGATTCTCTGAGGAAATGTCGGTAGCTCTAGTTGCTGGAGACAATGGGGAGGAAGACAGAGCCCCCTCTCATGGCCCTCACACGTGGCCGGCTTGGTGGTCATCGTGGGAGTGACGCAGAGACATGCTGTCTGCCAGGCACTTAGCAAGGCCAGCACACGGTGGTTGTGCACCCCAACCCCAATCTGGTCGTCACCTTTTAAGGAGACTGGAGGGCTCAGCCCTGTCCAGGGGGCTGCTGGGCCCCCAAGGAGGAGTCTGAGCCAGCCCAGCCTTCAGGGAGCTCCCAGCACGAATGGGGAGACGGTGTGTTAGTTTCCTATGATTGTCATAACGAAGTACCACAGACTAGGGGGGGCTCACAGTTCTGGAGGCGGGAGTCCGAGACCAAGGTGTCAGCATGGTTGGTTTCTCCTGAGGCCTCTCTCCTCGGCTTGCAGACGGCCACCTTCTCCTTGTGTCCTCACACCGTCTCCCCTGTGTGCATGTCTGTGTCCAAATTTCCTCTTCTTATAAGGACACCAGTCATACTGGACTAAGGACCACCCCAATGATGTCATTTTACCTCTTTCAAGACCCTCTCTCCAGGGAATTCCCTGGCAGTCCAGTGGTTAGGATTCTGTGCTTTCACTGCCGCGGGCCTGGGTTCAATCCCTGGATGGGGTACTAAGATCCCGCAAGCCGTGCGGCGCGGCCAAATACAGTCATATTCTGTGATACTGCAGGGTGAGAACTTTAACATATGAATTTCGCAGTGGGGAGTGGTGGGGGGAGGGACACTAGCCAGCCCATAACAGAGAAAGATGCAAAAAGATGCAGACCTGGGTCGTCACAGAACTTGGAGGCCATAATGGGGAACAGAGGGTTTGTAAGGGGCCCTCTTCCAGGTCCTCAAAATCGAAGGCAGCTTGTGCTTGATGGTGGGAATTCAGAGCATTGTCGATAAACAGAAGAGGCACTGCTGCACACAGTTGGGGAGGGGGAGGGGAATGGTTAACATTTTAGGTAAGGACGTGACCCTCCCCCATCACACACAGCCTCTTGGGCAAGGTTGGGCCCTGGCAGCTGGTGACTCAAAAATTGAAGAAACCATATGCTACTTGTCTTTCTCTGTCTGACTTACCTCACTCAGTATGACAATCTCTAGGTCCATCCATGTTGCTGCACATGGCACGATTTCATTCTTTTTTATGGCTTGAGGAATACTCCAACCTGTGTTTATCCATTCATTTGTCAATGGGCATTTAGGTTGCTTCCATGTCTTGGCTATTGTAAATAGTTCAGCTATGAACATTGGGGTGCACGCATCTGAATGGAGTCTTTACCAGATACATGCCCAGGAGTAGGATCGCAGGATCACGTGATAACTCTATTTTCAGTTTTTTAAGGACCGTAATGGAAAAGAAAAAAACAAAAATTGGAGAAACCAGAGTTTCTGCCTCCTGGGAGCTTACATTCTAGGAAGTTGTTTCCACGTGTGGCAAAATTCACAATAATTCCTTAGTGGGGTCTAATACCCAGTTCAGGGTATCTTTTCCCCAGTTGCCTCAAACATGGATTTTTGGCATGGGTTTGCTGGAACGAGGGGCCCAATAAAATTATTGGAGGTTCTGAGTTCGGTTTTCGTGGTACTATTCTACCTGCTCCAAGACAGCAGAGTAGGAACTCACTAAATACTATTATCATTATTATTATCATTACCACTGGTGTTGTTTCAGTGGCCATGCTGTTTTAGGGCAGGCTTGGCAGGGGGCAGGCGGTGGAGGGGGTGAGGGCGGCATATGGGAGAGAGTCTAGGCTGAGGGACAGCAGGGCTGGCCCTAGGCTCGTGCACCTCTCACCTCTGTCCCTGCTCCGTCAGGCACAACCTTTGCCCTGAAGCAGCTCCCGAAGGCCTCCACCACCCTCCGAGGCTTCCTGTATGAGTTCTGTGTGGGCCTCTCCCTGGGCTCGCACTCGGCCATCGTGGCGGCCTACGGCATTGGCGTGGAGTCAGTCGACTCCTACAGCTTCCTGACCGAGCCTGTCCTGCATGGAGACCTCATCGCCTTCATCCAGCCCAAGGTGGGTCAGCCTCCCATGGCTCAGGGGGGCCCACGTGGACGCTCCTACCCAACCTGGGCCTCAGGAATCACACTCACTGCATGGTGACCCAGGTAGCCCTGCAGAGGCCTCACTGGGCCCGCAGGTCTCGTGGAATTGTGAGGCCTCTAAGGAGTTCACGGCCGCCACAGAACCAACACTGCACCCTACTGAGGTTCACCAGGGCCCACAGGGCTCACACCAGGCCTCACGGGGCTCACACCAGGACCCACGGGGCTCACACCAGGGCTCACGGGGCTCACACCAGGCCCCACGGGGCTCACACAAGGGCCCACAGGGCTCACACCAGGCCCCATGGGGCTCACACCAGGGCCTACGGGGTTCACACTAGGCCCCACGGGGCTCACACCAGGCACCATGGGGCTCACACCAGGGACCATGGGGCTCACACCAGGCCTCACCAGAGCCACCCTCTTTGGGGCCCTCCATCCCCTGGGCCTGCTCCCCGGGGCCGAGGACAAGCGCTATGGCCCCGTTCCCTTCTGGCTGGCGGGCAGGGTGGTGGACCCTGACACCTGTCACCCACAGGTGGGCCTCCTGCAGCCAGCAGCCCAGCGCTGTGCGGCCCAGCTGGCCTCAGCCCTGGAGCACATCCACTCCCGCGGCCTGGTGTACCGGGACCTCAAGCCGGAGAACGTGCTGGTGTGCGACCCAGCCTGCCGGTGGGTCAAGCTGACCGACTTCGGCCACACGCGGCCCCGCGGGACCCTGCTGCGCCTGGTGGGGCCGCCCATACCCTACACAGCCCCGGAGCTCTGTGGCCCCCCGCCCCTCCCCGAGGGCCTGCCCATCCAGCCCGCCCTGGACGCTTGGGCACTGGGCGTCCTGCTCTTCTGCCTTCTCACTGGCTACTTCCCCTGGGACCAGCCCCTGGTGGAGGCCGACCCCTTCTATGAGGACTACGTCATCTGGCAGGCCTCAGGCCAGCCCCAGGCCCGTCCTCAGCCCTGGCTTGGCCTGACGCCCGTGGCAGACGCTCTCCTGTGGGGGCTGCTGGACCCTCACCCCCGAAGGAGAAGCCCCGTGAGCTCCATCCGGGACTACCTGGGGCGGCCCTGGAGGCAGCGGGAGGGGGAGGCCGAGGAGGTGCCCCAGGGGGAGAAGGGGGACCTAGACTGAGAAGCACGGGGGCAGCCCTGGCCCAGCCCAGCCTGGGGAGGCTCCGGAAGGCAACCCCAGCCCCCATCCTGAGGTCTCCTCCGCATTCATGGGTGGCGGCTGGCTGCTCTGCTGTCTGTTGGTCTGTCTCATGATTTTCCCCTTTCTGTCCTTAATTCCCACGTCGGGGCATCTGTCTGCTGCCTTGGTCCGGGGGAAGGGGGTCTCTGAGAGCACCCCGTGTCTGTCCACACCTGCCCCATCTTCCCCGGGCCTTGGCACCCGCTGCTCCCTTTGCCTGCGGTGCTCTGGGTGCTTTCCCACACCTCCTGCCAAGCTGTCTCAGCCAGGCCGCCCCTCACCACCGTGGGACACTACAGCCTGCACTCCCAGCCCCCTACTCTTGCTCCGCTCCCCTTTCCTCTGTGACACTCACTCCCTTCCAGCCGGACAATTTATCTATTCGTAGTGGTTATTCTGTGTGCCCGGCTGGAATGTGGGCTCCCGGGGGCCCAGGATCTCAGCCTGTCCTGCTCTCTGATGGATGCCACGTAGAAGGGGTGATCCTGCCCCGTGTAGGTGGTCCACAGATGCTTATTCAGTAAACGGACCCCCCTGGTTTTGCAAGGCTTCCCTCCATGTATGCCTGTCTTCCTGCCCTTGTCTTTTCTGTTTTGCTGGGTTCCGCTCCCTGTCTAACTCCTTCTTCCTCCCCGCATGCTGGGCCCACGCCCTCTTGATAATGTGCTTTGTCTCTCTGTCACCCCAACCGCTCTCTGCAAATAAAGTCCATCTGGCACTTAGGTCCCCGTGACGCTGTCGGTCTGGCAGTGTGGGAAAGAGAAGGCCGGCGTGTGCGTGCCTGTGTGCCCTGGAGAGCATGTTGTGGAGGAGAGACAGAGACAGAGAGAAACGGAGAGACAGACAGAGGCAGAAAGAATGGCAGACAGTGGTCCCACCGGGCGCTCCTGCGAGGTGCTGGCTCCGCGTGTGCATTTGTGGTGTGCCTGGGAGTGAGTGTGTCAGCGCTGTTTGCACCTACCCTGCACACATATGTGTGAGAAGGAGAGAGATTAGCCACCAGAGCTGGAAAGTGTCCAGCTGTTCTCAGGTGGGTAGGAACTTGAGCATGTATTTCTGGGTATTTGTGTGTCCATGCGTGTCTGAGCCCACATGTGTGTGTAAACAATGGTGTGTGTTTGTGTGTGTGGGAGAGAGAGAGACATGAGGGTTTGAACGCAGATGACGTGAGTGCGTGGGCTTTGTGTGTCTACAAGCGTCTGAGCCCCCGTGTGCTCATGTAATCGTGTGACTGCCTGGGTGAGGGGAGAAAATAGAAGTCTGTGTGCATCTCACCGTGTGCAGTGAGATGCCTGCGTGTCTGTGAGGCCTTGGGCCTGCATGTGTGGTGTGTGTGTGTGTCTGTGTGTGTGTGTGTGTGTGTGTGTAGCAGGGGGAAGACAAGTCACAGGCGCGGCTGCCAGTTACCAGCTGGGCCCTCCTCTCCTTCACACCCACCGGCCCCCGCCACCCGTCACCCTGGCCCCTTCTTGGCAGCCGCCCTGTTTGCAAACACTCTCTCTTCCTCTCTGTGCCCTCCTTGGCCGCCCGCCTAGAGAATGGCTACAACTCAGGGCTGGATCATATGTCATCCTCTCCCTGGCCCTGCACCCCCCAGGGCCCCTGCTGTGGCCACCAAGGTGTTGCCTGGAGGGGAGGGGTGTGGTGGAGGCAGCCTGTGTGGAGTGACCCCAAGGATCCTTTCAATCTAAGTTCAGTCCAGAGACCTGGGGACATGGGCCCCTGTCCCGGGCAATCCAGGTGAGCTTCCTGGAGTAGGGGGAGAATAAGATGGTGGGTGCAGTAGGGGGAGCACGAGCGGGACCTCCCGCCACCTCACCCGTGAATCTGAAATAACCCAAGCAATTAGGCCAAGAATGTGTCCCAAAAAAGCTGGAGGTGGCTGGGGGGTGGGGGAGTGGAGAGGAGCAGGGTCTGGGGGGGGGGGGGCACAGAGGGTGCTAATTGGTGGCATCAGCTGGGGATACACTGGGAGGTGATAATGACCCAGCGATGGGCCCCCACAGGAGGGCTGGAGGAAGAGACAGGAGTGGATGGGGTGGTGCTAATTTAGCGTTACTTAATCACAAGACACATAATACTAATCGTAATACTTTACTCGAATGAAGCCGCTTACCCCTCAAGCAGCTCCCAGCAGGTGGCACGTCCTGAACTCGCTGGAAGGGGTCCCTTAGATCCTCCCCACTTCAGGGGTGGACACAGGTGGTCCAGAGCAGCCGAGGTGCCTGCCTGAGGTCACACAGAACGTTGGGCAGAGGGAGGATTCAAATCCAGGCCAGCTCTTCAACTGTCCGAGGTCCATGCTCGATCTTCATTCCCCGACCAGAGATTGAACCTGCGCCCCCTGCGTTGGAAGTGCAGGGTCTTAACTGCTGGACCGCCAGGGGAGTCCCAAGCTCCATGCTCTTAAACTGTAGGAGTGTCCTGTGGCCGTCAGGACCTGGGGGAGGGGTCTTGAGGGGACTGGGGGCCTGAGCACACGTGTGTGGGTGTGGATGTGAGTGTGACAGAGTAAGGATGAGTGTGAGTATGTGGGTGTGTGTTGCTGAGGTGGCTGCCCCTCCCTTGGAGGAGATGCGAGTTGGGACACCTACATGGAAAGGAAGGTCGAAAAGCTTTTGGACCCAGGCAAGGGCCATAGTGGAAAGACAGACAGTAACATGTGCTGGCAAGGAGGTGGAGAAGTTGGAGCCCTCCTATGGGGCTGGTAGAATGTAAAAGATGGGGCAGTTGTTTTGGAAGACCGCCTGGCAGTTCCTCAAAATGTTAATTAACCATGGAGCTACGATATGGCCCGGCAATTCTGCTCCTAGGTAAATGCCCATGAGAAATAAAAACATGCCTCCACACAAATGTTCACGGCAACATTGCTCACAATAGCGAGAGTGGGAACAACCCAAATGTCAAGCCACTAACAAAGGGATAAAAGAAATGTGGTCTAGGGAATTCCCTGGCGGTCCAGTGGTTAGGACTCCACACTTTCACTGCCGAGGGCCCAGGTTCAATCCCTAGTTGGGGAACTAAGATTTCATAAGTCACGTGGTGTAGAAAAAAAAAAAGAAATGTGGTCTATCCATCCAGTGGAGTATTACTCAGCCATAAAAAGGAAGGAAGCACTGACACATGCTACATCATGGATGAACCTCAAAAACCCAGAGCCAGTCACAGAAGATGACCTACTGTAGGATTCCGTGTATCCACAGAGGAAGAAAGATTACTGATTGCCAGGGGAAATGGGGAGTGACTGACTGCTCATGGGCACAGGCTTGCTTTTTAGGGGTGGCGAGAGTGGTGGAAAAGCTCTAAAATTAGATTGTGCTAAATGTTGCACAGTTCTCTGAGTACATTAAAAGCCATTGAATTGTACCTGTAAAAAGGGTGAACTTTGGATGGACCTAGAGATTATCATACTAAGTGAAGTCAGAGAAAGACAAATATCATATGATATCACATACATGGAATCTAAAAAAATGATAAAATGAACTTATTTACGAAACAGAAATACACTCAGAAAACAAACTTACGATTACCAAAGGGGAAAGGGGGAGGGAGGGATAAATTAGGAGTTTGGGGTTAAAATACACACACCACTATATACAAAATAGATAGCCAACAAGGTCCTACTGTATAGCACAGGGAACCATACTCAGTATCTTGTAACAACCTCTAATGGAAAAGAATCTAAAAAAGAATATATATA